CATATGCTAGGAAAAGAGAAAGTTAATGGGAAGAACCTGAGGGAATGAGAGAAAGGTTTTGAGTAGGTGGAAGAGGTTAGCTTTAGACAGGAGGAGGGATGCCTCTTTCACTGATGGAGCGAGAGAAGAGGAGGAAGGGATGTTTATGGGAGCAGATAAGTTGGGTAGGGAGTAAATTAAAAAGTTGAGTTCCTCTGTAATATTTTCTTTTCACCATGAAAATGGACTCCATATGTGATGGCTTTAAAAATACGCCTACAAATTCTTTGATAAATGCCTTCCTTCAAAAGGTAGAACTTAATTCCCCTCCCTTTGAGTCTGTACTGAACTCATTTCTAACGAATAGAATGTGGAAGAAATGATGATATGTCACTTCAGAGATTAGGCTCAAAAAAACACTGCAACTTTTGTCTTGATGGAGTCACCGACCATCCTGCTTTACCTGGGACTGAAGGGTTTTCTGAGATGCAGAAATTTCAGTGCAAAAAACAGGATGCATTGGTAATCTTATTCTTGAGCTGGTTCTTTCTCTCTTGGATCATTTACTTTGATGGAAGCTAGCTGCCACGTTGCAACTGCCCTAAAGAGAGGCCCACATGGCATGGAACTGAGGGAGACCTGGAGTCAATAGCCAACTAGGAACTGAGGCTCAACCCGGTAGTCCAAGAATAATTGAGACCTACCAACAGCCACATGAGTGGAGCTTGGAAGCAGATCCTTCAGTTAAGCCTTCAGATGAGACTGCAGCCCCTCTGGACATCTTAACTATAACTTCATGGAAAACTTTGAGCTCAAGCCAGCCAACTATGATGGTCCCAAATTTCTGACCCATAGACATTGTGAGATAATGTTTGTTGTGTTAACTTGCTGAGTTTTGGGGTAATTTGTTATACAGAAATAGGCAACTAATTCATCAGATTAATGAAAATGAGTGGAAAGTGGTGAGATAGGTTTCCAGGGCCTAGCGTGATTGGATGACTTCCTCCAGCAGCCCCAGACAACTCCAGACAATGTGCCCATCCACTTCGTATGCCATTGATATTATGCAATGTCCAACAGTATCTTTTTTACCCCAACAATATATTTTGATAAAGGAATTTTACCAAAAGCTTATTTATCTTTCTTACTGAGCATATTTATCATCAATGTTATGACTGACTTTAAAAGCTTCTTGGCAAGAATATGACCTGTCACTGTTTTGGCTTTGAAAATTGCAACTTTAAAGGATGCCTTTATAGTTTTGACCTCTTCTCTTATTTTTAGGGGTAAATGTTATCAATAATGCTTCTTATTAGGAAGCATTATTTTGTGGGCTTCTCTTCCTCTAGAAAGTTTGTTTTGATTATCAGATTGGCCACTGAGCTTTTCTTAAAAATGCCACTAAGTCTTCATTGGCTTTATGCCACTATTTGGCCAAGTTTTATAACCTAATGTACTGGGAAACAGGGGAAAATAGATTACCAGTTTAATAAAACATATGTCCTAGAGGCTCATCATATTTCTTATTAGCCTTTTTCTTTTTCAGCTGCTCATCATAATTCATCATGCTTGTGGATTGCCCAGCCCCAGCATAGTCACACTGTATTGTTATTTGCGCTGGATTCCTGGTCAATATTTCAGTTACAATTATTTTCCCCTCTGAGTTTAAAAGTATTCAGCATCCTGATTTAATTAACTTTCAACTAACTAATTGAATTACTGAGTTGAATTACTGATCTATTTTTGTGAATTTAAAATAAAATGTAACACAATGAAATTTCACATTGAACACATAAACAATAACACATATTGTGAAACAACCCATTAGTTTAGATTAACTACACCCTAATAATTGAACATTAGCTGAAACAAACTATGGAGCCAACACAACCTAAACCTTAAAAGCAAAATGACTGGAGTGCCTGGGTGGCTCAGTGGGTTAAGCGTCTTCCTTTGGCTCGGGTCATGATCCTGGGGTACTGGGATCAATCCTGGGGTCCTGGGATCAAGCCCTGAGTCAGGCTTCCTGCTCAGCAGGAAGTCTGCTTCTCCTTCTCCCTCTGCCCCTGCCCCTACCCCCCACTTGGGCTCTCTCTCTTGCTCACTCTCGCTTGCTCTCAAATAAATAAATAAAAATCTTTTTAAAAAAAAGTTCATTTTTTTTAAGACTGAATAATATTCTTTTGTGTGTTTATATCACATTTTGTTTATTCATTCATTCATTCATTCATTCATGGACACTTGGGTTGCTTCCACCTTTTGGGTATTTAAGTAATGCTGCTATGAACATGCGTGTACAAATATCTCTTCAAGACCCTGCCTTTTTTTTTTAAGTATTTATTTAAGTAACCTCTACATCCAGTGCGGGGCTCGGACTCATTACTCTGAGATCAAGAGTTGCATGCTCTTCCAACTGAGCCAGCCAGTTGGAAATCCCTTCTTTCAATTCTTTTAGGTATATACCCAGAAGTGGAATGGCTGGATTGACTGTCTTGTTTTAATCTTTTATGATGAGAATGTACTCATGTATTATTTGTATAATTTAAAACATACAGAGAAATAAAAAAGAAGTAACTATAGAAAGTGGGTTATGGACATACAAGGTTTCAGATGTAGAGCAGTAGCTAAATGTGGCCATAAGTATGAATTGTGCAAATCCAACAAATGACATCTTAGGCATGCTTAAATTTCCTCAATGACGAGCACCTACAGACACAACTAGCCCAATTCCTTAAGCTATGGGCAAAGTTGAAAAATCAAACTGGATTTTCCAAATACATCTTCCAGTTTCCTGCCCCTATACCTGTATTCCTACAATTCCTTCCACTGGGTATATCCTTTTCATCTGCCAACTTGACTCACATAGCAAATCAATTTTACCCATATATCAAATATTCTTTCCTTCTGAGGCCCCTTTGAACATCCCCAACTACACTGACTCCTGCTACATCTGAAGCCCCCAGAACTTTGTGCCTCTCTCAGGGATCTTTTCTTCACAATATGAAGACTGCAAGGCTCATACCCATTTAAATGGTTATAGGGCCTCATCTTTAGATTTGAATTCAACATTAACAAGCATAGGCCAAGCACTCTATTAGCCAGAATTTAGGTTAGACTCCATATTCAACATTTATTAACAAATACTTATTAAGTATTTGCTACGAGTTTGGCACTGTTATGAGAGCTGGGGATAGAAGGGTGGACAAGGTCCCTGCCCTCATGGAGTTTATGGGTATTTTCCTCCACAGGCGTTCCTAATTTGGAGAAATCAGGCATTCATTTTTTGACTCAGTAAGTATGGGTGCCTATGGGCAGCAGTTGGAGATGGCCACATACATACACATACACACATTTCAAATTCAACAAATATTTATTGGGTACCTAATATGTGCCAGGTTGTGTGTTCGCCACTGGGAATTTAGCAGTGAACAAGACAGCAATGTTTTTTTTTTTTTTTATAACAGCTTTATTGTGATATAATTCATACACCAGGGTGCCTGGGTGGCTCAGTTGGTTAAGCATCTGCCTTTGGCTCAGGTCATGAGCCCAGGGTCTTGGGATCGAGTCCCACATTGGGCCCTCTGCTCAGCGGGGAGTCTGCTTCTCCCTCTCAGGCTCCATTTGCATTCTCCCTCTCTCTCTCTCAAATAAATAAAATCTTAAAAAACAACAACAACAAAAAAAAACCTGTAACCAGTAGCAGTCACTCTCCATTTCTCTCAACCCTCCCAGCCCTAGGCAACCACTTCATTCTATCTCTATCAATTTGACTATCCTGGACATTTTATATAAATGGAATCATACAGTATGTGACTTTTATGACTGACTTTTTTTTTTCACTAAGCCTAATGTTATCAAGGTCCAATCCGTGTTGCTGTATTTCTCTTTATTGACAATATTGCATTGTATGGCTATACCACATTTTGTTTATCCATTCATCAGTTAATGCACATCTGGGTTATTTGTACATCTTGGTTTTTATGAATAATGCTGTCGTGAATATTCATATACAAGTTTTTGTGTGGACATATGTTTTCAATTCTCTGGGATATATACCTGCGGTGGAATTGCTGATTAATATGGTTAATATAATAACTCTATATTTAACCTTTTGAGGAACTACCAGTACATTTTCCAAAATGGCTGTCCCATCCAAGTACTAACCAGGCCAGACCCTGCTTAGCTTCCGAGATCAGACAAGATCGGGTGCGTTCAGGGTGATATGGCTGTAGACTATTTCACATTCCCACCTGCAGCCCATGAAGCTTCCGCCTTTCCCCAAACTTATTATCTATCTTTTTCATTATAGCCATCCTCCAAAATATTTTTATTTTGAGATAATTTTCGATGAAAAGAATTGCAAAGATACTGCAAAAAGTTCCGGTAGATCCCTCACCCTAATGTGAAAATAACTAGTATTTTGAAAAAGATAGAAATACTAGCAAGAGACCAGCTTTGGTCCTTCTCGTCCTAGGTGCGTATTAGCAGCCTGAGCAAGTCAAGAAGGGAAAGGCTGCTTGGGTACAGACGGGGCAGCGAGAAGAGGGTCACATCCAGGTGCCCAATATAACAAAAGCAGGAGGCAGAGTTCAAGGAGAGGGCAGATCCTGTTAGCGAGGTCGCGTTCGGGGGCAGCTAGGGACTTTCTGACACCCCGCACCCCTGGTGGTCACATCATACTGTAGCATTCTTTGGTCGTTCTCTCTTCCACCAAGAGCCTCTTAAACTCCCGGGAGGTTCAGGCAGTGCTTCGAAAGGCTCTCCTAGCCTCCACCTTTACCCATAAAGCACTTAACGAAACCACCTGAGCCGCCACTCCCCGTAGCGCGGGAGACCAGACCCAGCTTAGCAAAGGCAAGGCTCGGCCACCCCTCCAGTGCCACACCCAGACCCGCGGCCCGACTGCAGCCGCCGGCCACTCAGGGGCCGCCGCGGCCCCTGGGACGCCCGAGACCGGCTCCCGATTGGCTGGGCGTGCGCGAGAGCCCGCCTTCCGGAGACTGTAGGGCGACCCCCGGGAGAAGCCGGGTAGACGCCTCCGCTAGGGGCCGGGGGCAAAGTGCGGGGACAGGGCTCGGGTAGGTCCTCGGCAGGCGAGGTTCGGCGTAGGAGCGCCCTCCTGCAGCGAGACGAGGCCGGGAGACCAGATTAGGAGAGTCGCGAGTCCCTTTGTCTGCTCTCGGCAGCGACGCGCTGGGCGGGGAGGGGGAAGGGAGCGCCGGTTCCCACCCCGGAAGCGGAAGTGCGGGCGCCGCGGAGTCCTGTCCAGTGAGAGCCCGGCCGGTACGCCAGCCGTTCCGCCCGCTGGTCACTTCGCGCCTTCTCCGCTGCTCGTTTCCCCTCGCCGGCCGCGCCATGCTGTCTCTAGATTTTTTGGACGATGTGCGGCGAATGAACAAGCGGCAGGTATGGTTGGCCGCCCACTGTCTCCCGGGGCTCCCCGTCTCCCTTTGACGCCGCCCCTGCGGAGCCCGGCAGACCTCTGGCCCCCTGTGCGAGGGCCTGAGCGGGTCTGACGCCTGGATCATTCCTTGTCTTTGTGGACCGTGTGGCCAGAGGTCGCTTTGTCCGCCCCCTGTGTTTAGCCCCTAGCTGCGTCCGGGCCTGCCAGGGGCGGAGCGGGAAGCCGGCTCTTCACGTTGCATTCCTCCTAACGAGGCAGGAGAGCAAATGGAAAACCTCAGGGCGCTTTCTAAGTGGGAGTTGGGGTTGCTTAGCATTTGAGACTTGGGAAGGCGGCAAACTCGTGTTTCCTGCAATCGCCGCGACTCCCGATCAATTCCGGCGACTAGGTTTAGCCGTTCAGCGCTACACTGGCTTCTGGGATGCTCGGGAAGGCGGGTGTAGGCCCCACAAAAAAAGCCCTTGTGCTGCTTTCAGCTGGTGGCAACCTTTCTAGTACAGCTGGGCCCCAGCGGGCTGCCATGCCTTTCCCTGGACCACCTCTGACTTCAGAGTTGGAACAGTAGTAATACTTGCCCTTGAGTCTGCTTAGCAGGAAGGTGGCAGCCCCCAGAATCCTCGGGTTTACTGCTCAGTATTAGTGGCACAGGGATCTTGAAATTCAGATCTTCTGATTTTGTCCTTAAACCTTCCTTACTCCATCTTGAACTTCTAGACCATTTGCCAGATGGTACTGGAACACTGCTGTAATTATATAGTCATTAGAAAAGATTGCTCCTCAGCACGAAGTGTGTAGAGCCTACTTTGTCTTGCCTTGGACCTTTTTATAGTATTTCACTGTTAAGAATTTAACATGTCACTATTGAAGATGTTTCTCTTGGACTTGTATTTTACACTATTTATAATTACTGTTGAGGGAAGTGGATATGCACCCTTCCCTTACTCCCCTTCAGACTTCACGTAGCTCAGTGTCACCTCTTAGACATGTTTCGTAATTCTTTCAGTTATAAGTAATCATTCTTTTCAAATGGCACGGAACGTTTGTGCCTTTATGGTAACACTTCTGATTCTCACTTGTGGTATAGTGTTCTCTTCATATTGAATTTCTAGGAGCCACAGACGTTATTTTGAAGAAATCCGTACTTTGGGCCTACTATTCATTGTAACTTATGCTAGGTAAAATGAGAGAAATGCAAAGACAAATGAGAAAACTCTGCCTTCAAGAGCATGAGTGTGTAGAAAATGACTAAGGCAAATAATAATTATTTTGAGCTCTTGCTATGGTGAAGTGTTTTGTATATTGGTGAGGTAGGTAATATTACTCCCGTAATACAGATGGAAGAAAATGAGCAACCTCCTAGAGATTGTTAGGAGGGGATGGAAGGGATTGGATAGCATGGCCGTGGTGTGACGGAAGGTTTTGAACTGAGGTTTTACCTGTACATGATATCTGAGGAAAAGAATTGGCAGTGACTGTGGATACTGAGAGCTAATCAGATGGAAAGAGGGAAACTAGTTTGGTTCTACTCTTCTAAAACTGCCATCATTTGCATAACTTTTCCATTCATGCCTAAATAACATCAAATGTCTGATTAAGTTGTTTGAGTTGTAATTCTTTTTCTTACCAGGTTCAAGGGGAAAACTTGAGTACAGTAAGATTCATCCATTTAAAGTGTACCAGTTGATAAGTTTCCACAGTTCTGTGCACCCATCTCAATCAAGATAACAGAACATTTCTCACCCACAAGAGCCCTTGTGCTCCTTTGTAGTTCATCTCTCCTCTAGCACCTGGCAACCACATATTTGCTTTTTGTCAGAGTAGATGACCTTGCATTTTATATACATAGAATCACAGTTTGTATTCTTTGGAGCTTTGAGTTTTAATTGATTCTTTAACACCTAACTTAAGATTTTTGTTTATTGTATATAATGCAATTTTTTTGGTCGGTCTCACAGTTTCCAAAAATAAAGTGTTTCACTACCTTTACTGAATCCTATACATTGTTGCCAAATTAAAGCCCCCTCCTACCCTCAGACCTTCAGTAGCTCCTCATTGCCTTGTAGGTTAATGGCCTAAACCCTTAGAACGACATTTGCAGTAAGTCCCAGTCATTTTACAGGCTGCCATTTCTCACTGTTTCAGTCTTATCCCAGTTTACTTTTCCTACCTATTTCATGTCACTGTCTATGAACATTGTTCTGTTCAAACATATTCAAGCCTACGCAACTGTCCTTAGAACTCCTCTTGTATTCTTTCTGAGTCTTTATGGACTGCCCTAGGATATTAGGTGAGCTCTACAGTCCTTTAGCACTTACATACTATTTCATTTGTCTTCTCCCCTTTGGAGTGTGGCTCCTTTACTGGAGTATCAGGTCACTGTTTTCATGAGGCTTTTCTTAATCCACGAAGCCTTGATTGATCAAGTTTGCCTATTTCCGTGGTGCAAATACACCCAACATGGCTGATTTCACACTACTAACATGACATCACTGAATGCAGAATTAGGAAGAAATGGGATAGCATGCAACTGTAATTTCCACCTTAGAGATAAAATAGAAAAAATAACCTCAGGGAATATAGATGATGAGAAAATGTAGTAAAATAGTCAGGAACTAATACATTTAGATTATTTATTACCTTTGTTTTTAATGTAATTTAATTGTACTAATTTTTAATAACACTGTGTTTAACAACGAGCTTGTAAAACTCCTGAAAATTTAGCAAATTGACTCCAAATTGACTGGTTATAGGTTAATTTTTGTTTTTATTTTTAAGATTTATTTTTAAGTAATCTGTACAGCCAGTGTGGGGCTCAAACTTAGAACTCGAAGATCAAGAGTCATATGCTCTACCAACTGAGCCAGCCAGGCACCCCTGGTAATAGGTTAGGCCTTTGATGCCCATTGAGGTGGCCTTTGTGTCCAGAAAAGCCTGTTTATAGAGTTATCTTTCATTTTAAAATAAAATGTTCAGTTTGTAAAAGCTAAAATTTTAAAACTGAGTTCTTAATCTTTTCAGAATCAGTTTACAAATCTTATCCTATTTAAAGGCCAGGAAATTAAAAAAAGAAAGAAAGAAAAAGTATAGGAAATTTTAACAGTCAGTTTTAAGGGCCTTTGAATATTTGGGCTAATTTACAAACAAACATCTTAAAAATATTATAAATTTAAAAATTTCCTTTTTAAGAACATCCGTTATTCAACAAACCACTGCATACTTATATAATTTTTATATGTCTGGGCTACTTAAGTTTTCTGAAATGTTTCAGCACTGTATAAATAGTAAACTTTCTGATTAATCTACAACAATTGATTATACATTTCAAATTGGAACTACAAACCTAACCTATTACTTTAATAGGGCAAATTCTCTTAAAATTTTATAAATACTTAAAATACTAAATATGCACAGAGTTTTTAATATTAAAATATTAACACTATACATAATTTCCTTTAAGCATTTCTGTTCTTAATTTTAAATTTTCCTTGGGTTAAAAGATGTTTACTTGCTAAGAAAATGAATATGTCATGCCAAATAATTTTTAGGTTGCTTTCCCATGTAATTTTTGGGGTTGTCTTCTCTGCTTGCTGAGAATTCTTAATAACCAGAGGATATTGGCCAGAATGTGACTAGATTCATATTTGAGCCCTGATGGGATTAATCCAACTTTCAATAGAATTTGCTTATTAGCTCCTCCTTAGGCCTCTTATATTACTTGATTGAATTTTGCATTTTTTTGGATTTTAATTATCTGTATGTCTTCCTGCCTAAATCTAAAGACCTTAGGACTTAGCAGAATCCTCCTTTCTTTTTATATCTTCTCATCCCATAGGATCACTCAACTCCTAATGGCTGTTGTAATGATATCTGATTGAATTCTAGATATCTTTGATAATTTTTTTTTTAATAAATTGGCCCTCCAGTGAAGCACACAGAAACCTAGGAGATTTTTCTTAGTCTTCAACCAAATATGAGTAATTGTGCAGCAAATAGGAGGTATATACAGCACAGAGGACAGATCTATCCAGATTTTTGAAAACTAATAGTCTTGTTTAGGATCTGGAAAATGTTATTGACAGGGTGTCTGCATTCAGTAATTGTCAAGTTTCAGTGTGAAAATACTAACTTCAGTCTCAATAGACAAACAAGGAAATCACAAGTAAAATTATAAACTGCACTTACCATCCATGAGCATATTCTCAAGCATCCAGAAATTCTTTATCCTATGTAACTTTGAGCAAAATCTAGAATATAGCACCATAGTAAGGATTAAGGCGTTTATTTGCAATGGTTCCTAGATACTTCATATTTCTTAGTTTGGGGGGGGTCTTTTTCATAATATTCTCTCCAAGGATACAAAGACAAGCATGATAATTCATTCCCATGGCCAAATGGCACAAGTCTACAACAATAAAGATGGCTACTTAGGCAGAAATTGTGATTATAACTCTTCAAAGAGTTGTCTTTTCTGACTTAAAGGAATGAGGTGAGGTATGGTATCCAGACACAAGTTGTGCACAGAGACGGAAAGCTTTATCTGAAAAACATGGTCTATTGGTTAGAATTTAGTCTGGGAAGCAGAACCACTATGACTATTATGGAATTAAGGATTTATTGTAGGAATTAGATCTTACAGAATTGTGGGAGAAGCTGGTTAAGTAACAGGCTAAAACTGAGAGATGGAGAATCAGAGAAATGTTGTTAACGAGCTCTTCTGAAGCACTGTTATGGGTGGACAAATCCAAGCTTGCCAGGACATCTCGGGCTAGATTCCATGTCTGGTTGATGGAGTGGGACCACACCAAAGGAGAGTAGATGAAGCCTGTGGATGGCTGTTGCCTCTATATGGAGGCTCTGTTAGTCAGCCAGAAGAGCCAGGCATGGACAGGAGAGAGCAAGGGCAAACCGGATTCATCCAGGCCCTTCACGTCTGTTGCTCACCATCATAGTGGCCTTCAGCATAGTAGCAGCTGCTTCCCTTTCACCTTCCACATCTTGGGCA